CGGTAACTTGCGTGGAATACGGTGTGAGTTGTGATAATTTCTCCTTAGAAGCCTTTAGCTGTTCTTCTATTATCGATTGCTTACTGTATTCTAGTTTCAATGCGTGGTTGCGTAGTTGGCATGATGCCTGGAAGCATATCTTGGCTGCAATCGATGTCTGGATGGGGCTTTTGATGGAAAGTCCTTTTGGTGCCAGGTTTAGACGTTTACATTGCGTCAGGAAAACGATATGTGATCTTGTATTGGCCAACTTGTCTGAGAGACGCTCGTATTGTCTCCTAGCGTGGAGAGCTTCTGCTTCCAAGCAGGGTCCAAATTTAGAAAACATGAAGAGGAGTCCACGTGTGTTCATATGGATAATAAAGAAGAAAGAAAAACAGGAAACGGAGTAGACTTTAGAACACTATTTTATTACAACATGAATATTTCGACCTGACCTCAAGTCCTCTTCAGCATGACTGATTAACATTATGACAAAGTTGGAACAATACAAATCAATAATACGGTATCTAATAGGCGATTGGTCAGACTTAATCATGATGACTTAATTATAATAACAAAAGGTATGATCGGGCCTACAAACGACTACGTCAATCCTCAACCATACAAGCCCGCCAGTCTCACCCGCCAATGGACGCCTACCGTGAGTAAGAACCCATTTATCGAGTCATTCGTGAACACGGCTAAAAGCCATCTCAACGCCTTCATCAATAAAAACACGGGAGAGACAACCAAAGACAACTTGACTAAAACTGAACGAATAGCAATTAAGGAACTCAACAAAAATCAAAACATCACCATCAAGAAAGCAGATAAAGGCGGCGCAACCACTATAATGAACACTTCCGACTACGTAGCAGAAGCAGAAACTCAACTTACGAACAATGAATTTTATAAGCTACTTGATGCTGATCCCACTGTACGTTATTGTAATGAACTGACTTCTCTTTGTACTGAGTTATCTGCTAACACTAGTGATTTAATTAAGGACCTTATTCCCCTCAACCCCCGCCCTGGCACTTTCTACACCATCCCGAAACTCCACAAACTCCCCAAGCTTCTATCTGATAAACTTAATTCACTTTCCCACAATGCTAGTGTTAGTATTCCATCCGAACAGATTAAACTGTTCAACCTAGTCAGGACACACAAAATTACCCCTCCCGGTAGACCTATTGTATCGGCTATTGGTACACTCACCGAACATTTATCTGGATACATTGACTCACTTTTACAGCCTCTCATACCTTCAATTCCTAGCTTTGTCAAGGACACTACACACTTTCTGAACATTCTCGGAAATACCCCCATCCTTCCTAACAATTCATTGTTGGTCACTTTGGACGTATCCTCTTTGAATAGCATTATCCCCCATGATGAAGGCCTCCAAGCCCTTGCTACATTTTTACCACAGCACTCGTTTTCACATGAACACACTAATGACATAATCTCCATAACTAACTTTATCCTGGCGCACAATAATTTCACTTTCAATAATAAACACTACCTCCAAATTAAGGGCACTGCAATGGGAACCAAAATGGCTCCGAATTATGCCAATATTTTTATGTCCATTCTTGAATCCAAACTCATTGCTTCATTCCCTCTTAAACCTCTGTTCTACCGACGTTACATTGACGACATTTTCATAATTTGGCCACACGGCGAATACAACCTTAAGACATTTATGGATCATGTGAACAACTTTCACCCTCATATTAAGTTCACATC